CCTATTATTAGATTATATATTTAGATGTTTTTATGTTATTAAACTGTAAATATTGTGTCCCTTGGTGTGACAGCAGCGCTCTGCACCTTTTTTTTTTCTCTGGTTCTCCAACAGGTCTGGTTTCAGAACCGCAGAGCCAAGTGGCGGAAAAAGGAGAACACCAAGAAGGGTCCGGGTCGACCTGCTCACAACGCCCACCCCACCACGTGCAGCGGGGAGCCCATGGACCCGGAGGAGATCGCCCGGAGAGAGCTGGACCGGCTGGAGAAGAAGAAGCGGAAGCAGGAGCGCCGGCTGCTCAAGTCCCAGAACAAGCTCCTGTCCGGGGATTTATTCCACACGCCGGGCTCGGACAGCGACAGCGGGGTGTCGCACGTCACCGACAGTGACCACAACACGTGCCCGCCCTTTGACTCTGTGCCGGGGAACCAGTCCAACCACCAAGCGCCTCTCCAGACGCAGAACCAAAGACTCCTGGACCGGGATGCTGGCGGATCCGAGCTGGACTCGCCCGACCCCAGCAGCCACCGGTCCACGAGCCTGTGCTCCGGCAGCACCAGCAGAACGTCCGGCCTGCAGAAACTCAACCCTTTCAGCGTCGAGAGCCTCCTCTCGGACTCCAGACCGAGACGCAGTCCGGCGGCCTTACCCTCCTCGCGGCCTTTGATCGGGAAGGGCCACTTCCTGCTCTACCCCATCACGCAGCCGCTCGGATTCATAGTTCCTCAGACGGCCCTGAAGACCGCGGCGGTGAACGGGGACAGCGACGCCTCCTCGGCGGGCTGCAGGAGCGGCTCGCCGGACTGCGCGGACGCGGCGCAGCGGGGGCCGCCCGGAGCCGAGGACCAGGCGGCTTCTCCGCACATGAGCCCGTCCAGGGCCGCCTTTTCTGCTGGGAAACAGAGCTCGGTGATTTGCAGCGACTCGACTTTTGTGCACGAACACAGCCCACAGCTGGACACGGACAAAACAGAGCACTTGGTGAACCAGGAGCACACTGACCCCCCCAGTGACTGTCCTGCACTGACTCAAGGAGACCTGGAATAAATCTGTGGGGGTAAAAAACGAATGAATCGACACTCATAGGCCAAAACCTAAAGGTACTCATTGCAAACTATCAAACCAAACATGTAAACAAGTTGAAATTTATGCAGATCCTGATAAGCAATTCTAAAATGCGGGTCCACACTCAGTGTAAACAAAGCACTTTTTTTTTGCTCATTATAAATACAACACATTAAAAATGTTGATCCCATTTGGCACTTTCATGGATAACACTTATTTATTTAGATAATTTCACAAATTTTGATTACAAATGTTAAATTTAAAGAAAATCAAACACAGTAATTTTTTTATTTATTTTTAACCAATTTTCATGACATTGCAATGAGTACCTTTAGCCCCATCTTTGCATTTAGTTCTGGCCCCCACAAACAAGCTGCTCAAATTTGGTCAATTTCCTCCTTTTTTTTTTTTTTTTTTTTTTGTTTATTTCCTGGGAGTGTGTCTGTGTGTGAGTCAGGAGTCTCTAGATATCATTTTACTGTGTGATGACTTGTCAAAACAACAACAGCAACACCAACAAAAATCCTCAAGAGCTGTAAGAAAGGTATTATACTATTTATATATGTAAGGTTTTTTTTTCTTAAATAAATCTATTGTATACAAGCACTTTCAGAGTGTGTGAGCTCCTAAACAAGCAGCGCAGGACCACAGCTCAGTGCAGTCGCTTCCTTTAAGGGAAATCTCACGTTGTACTTTGTATATTGCCTTAACAAATTTATTCATCTATAAGCCCCCGCTGAAATGAGGTTACGAGCCCGAGGCGAAAAGGACCCGGCTCGACTCCTGCAGAGTTTTGATATGAAAGTAATTATTTTCCCGGTGGCTACTGCGGGGGGATTCAGTTTATTTTAGCTCAAAGGGGGTTATAATACATTACCGATTTCTAGTGATATGAAATCACATAAACTTCCAAGAATAATAGAATTAGCATGAAAAGGCCTGGGTGTCAAATTGAAATAGGAAAATAATAGCCCCGGCAGCTGGGAGTGTGTGTATGTGTGTGTTTGTGCATATTGGATAGGAGATGGGGATTCGTGGGGAGGCATTTTCATGAGCTTTTTTTTTCTTCTTCTTCCTCCCCTACATCTTCTTCCTCCCTCTCTCCACTCTGTCAGGGCCCCTTGTAGCAGGGCTATATTAAGATAGATGTTCGATGATATCCCTCATTGTTCTGTCGCTTTACATTGATGTTTCTGTGTTATCAGCCTATTGATCACGCGTCGCCTGTAATAGGACGGGCTGAGGCAAACGTGCCTATTTACAATAGCAGAACACATTTGTTCTAATAGGGTTGGGGGTCCCCGGGGAGTCCGCGCAGGATCTGGGACATCTGCTCCCCCATGTTTTCCTTTCTTTCTTTCTTTCTTTCTTTCTTTCTTTCTTTCTTTCTTTCTTTCTTTCTTTCTTTCTTTCTTTCTTTCTTTCTTTCTTTC